AGTAGGAAAACTGAATCATGCTTACAATATTTAAACAACATTAGCACATAGAACACACGTGTCATAGACAAACAGAAAGGGGAATAGTTGACATTGTAAGAGTCAAGGACACTAACCAGAAGCAAAGTTAAACGAGCAAAAGAGTAAGGAGTTTAGAATATTGGTTGCAGCAATTGAAAGAGAGCCCCAAATCCTCGATGCTTCAGAGTTCACAAGAGCCTCGAGAAGGGCACTGAGCAGTGCTTGCACCGGAGGAGGTCGTTTTAACAATATTTTGGCCTTGGCTTTCAGCCGGCCAAGAATTCAACGATTCTAGAAAATATTCAAGTGTCTCAGAAGAAGTGAACGAGTGAGAGGAGAATATATTGAGAGTAATAACAGTCAAAATTAGGTCTTCCAAAAGGGAAATCGGGAAGGATTTATATAATAGCCAAAATCAACATCCAAACAAGGAAACATAATTAATCGAACATAAATAAGGAAATAGAACCATGCAAAATCATTCAGAATCAATTTAAAAGAGAATCAAGCAAACCCTAGTTCAAAAGAAAAGCACAGATGGTCAAAAATCTCACTGAATCAGACCATATAACCAGATAGTGAGTGCATATAGACGAAATATAATCTAAATCTCAAAGATTGAAGGCGGTGGCACCCTACTTGGGGACTAGTACTTGCCAAAATTGAGGCAAGTACTATGTAGCACCATAGTCTTGTAGGGAAGAGTGAGATGATCCATAAAAGGTAAGAGGATCGTAGTAAGAATCCATGACTTGTATCGGATATGGAAGAGATTTGAGTGAGACGGCTAGGGTTTGAGAGGAGAGAGTAGAGAGGACTTTAGGGAGACAGTCTCAGGGAAATGGGGTTAGGGTTTCTAGGTTGGGATAATTAAAAGAGGGAAATGAAACAAGGGCGATGATCTTGAGAGATCAACGACCAGGATTAAAAAATGAAATGGGGCGGGTCATGAAGATGGTTACCGACCGGGTTTAGTAAAGGGTCATTTGGGTTGGGCTGGGGGCTGTTGGGCTAAGGATTTGGGCCAAATTTGGTCAGAAATTGACTTAAAATGGGCTATAATATAAATACACGAAATTTATCAAAACTAAATAAATTATAAAAATGATTAATGAATGATAAAAATTTTATTTATGCAGTAAAATTCTTAAAAATAATAGTTTAAGATTATAAAAATATAAGAAATGTAATGAATACAATTATGTAGAATATAGGTTAGTACTAAAAAAAATTATATAAATAGCTTAAAAATATAAATGCAATATGGAAATAAAGTAAAAAAATATTTAAAACATGTATGTGGGTGTAAATAATAAATTTGAATGATTAAGTCATCAAAAATAATTTAAAGGGATAATTAATAAATATTTAAGTAATTTAAATGCAAAAAATTAACTTTAAAACTCTAAAAATTACGGAATATCTTGTATAAATCTTGTTAATTAAATATTGATGCAAAATAATATTTTGAAAATATATATAATATTTAAAAAAATATGAGGGTAAAATTGGGTATCAATAGAAGCATAGACACATTCTGGAAGTTGCTAGAGCAATGAGATTTCAGGCTCATATACTTCTAAAATATTGGAGACACTGTGTTCTGGCTGCAGTTCATGTTATCAATAGGATGCCTTCATCAGTACTTAATGGTGTTTTTCCATTTCAAAAAGTGTACAACATACAACCATCTCTAGAGCATCTAAGGGTGTTAGGATGCCTATGCTATGCCAAAGCAGTTCAAGAAAGGGACAAGCTGATGCCAAGAGCTATACCAGCAGTAATGATGGAATATGCAGCAACTAAAAAGGGCTATGTGCTCCTAAATCTCACTAACCATTATTTTTTTGTTAACATGGATGTTACTTTCCAAGAAACTGTCTTTCATTTAGATATGTAAGAAGCAAACATTTACCAATCTTTCTGCAGTTTGATACAACACCAGATTCTTCTCAGTTAATAGGAACTCCACATGTGTCTGACAAGAGATACCATGATGATCATGACACTGTACTACCACAACCAGACATGGGAGATACAGTCGATGACACAGAAGCAATTATCCATGATGTTGAAGTTGCAGATGAAAGTGCAAGTGACTCAGTTCAAACAGCTCAAGAAGCTTCTGATCATGCACAAGTGCAACATTCATTTCATCAACCAGCTTCCACTACTCCACTAGTTGCAGAAAATGAAGTTAGAAAATCAACAAGACCCAAGAATCCTCCCATTTGGATGAAGGACTTTGTGTCATTGAATGTTCATGAGTCTGTTCCTAATGTTGTTGCAAACTATGTTTCCTATACTGCAGTATCCCCTAAATACCAACCCTATTCATCAGCCTTCTCCTCTATTGTGGAACCTACCACTTTTGCTGAGGCTAGTCAAGGCCCTAGGTGATAGAAGCTATAAAAGCGAAATTGATGCACTAGAAAGCAATCACACATGGGATATAGTTCCACTTCCCACAGGTAAAGTTTCAATTGGCTGCAAATGGGTGTATAAAGTCAAATACGAGACCTCAGGTAAGGTGGAGAGATTTAAAGTTAAGCTAGTAGCTAAAAGGCATAGTCAAAAGGAGGGAATTGACTACCACGAGACTTTTTTACCTGTTGTGAAAATGGTGCAGTAAGAACTGTACTGTCTATTGCTGCAACTCAGAAGTGGCACATACATCAAATGGATGTGTACAATGCCTTCCTTCAAGGTGATCTATTTGATGAGATCTATATGCAACTGCCACCAGGATTTAGAAGCCCGGGGGTGTCTCAGCCAATATGTAGGCTTCTTAAATCTCTATATGGCCTTAAACAGGCTCATAGGCAGTGGAATAAGAAGCTCACAGAGGCCTTATATCAGTTTGGTTTTACTCAGAGCCAATATGATCATTCTTTGCTCATCAAGAAGACCAATGAAGGCATTGTGATAGTATTAAGTTATTTGGATGACATGCTAGTTATTGGCACCTCCTTGCAGTTGATTGAGGAGACAAAGACAGCTAGTTCTACAACAAACCTTTAAAATGAAAGATCTAGGAGAGTTAAAATTCTTCCTTGGTATAGAGTTTGCAAGATCTGCAGATGGAATTCTCATGCATTAGAGAAAGTATGCTTTAGAGATCATTTCTGAGCTTGGTCTGGGAGCAGCAAAGCCTGTAGCCACTCCATTAGAGGTCAATGCAAAGTTGACAACAAAGGAGTATGATGATCATTTGGGAACTACAAGTAATACTGTGGATGAACTATTACCAGATCCAGGAGTCTATCAATTGCTAATTCACTACAAAAAAAAGTTGGAATTAGCTACGAACATCGTCTCTAATCGGTCGTTAAAACGCTCGTAGCTAGCAGAATTTTTTGATAATCCGTTGCTAATCCGTCGCTAAATGAGATTAGCGACGGATTTTTCAGTTTAACTACAAAGTTTGTCCGTCGCTAAAACCTGATTTTTTAGTAGTGATTGGGAAGCTGTTGTATTTAACTATGACAAGACCTGATTCAGCATTCAGTGTGCAAATGCTAAGTCAATTTCTTCAACCAAAAAGGTCTCATATGGAGGTTGCAATAAGAGTTGTTAAATATGTCAATTATCATCCCGGGCAAGGTGTTCTGATGTCAAGCAAAAACACAGGAACACTAAAGGCCTACTGTGATGCAGACTGGGCTGCATGTCAGCACTCAAGGAGATCTGAGACAGGGTTCTTGGTCAAACTAGGTGATTCTTTGGTGTCTTGGAAGTCCAAGAAGCAAACAACAGTCTCTAGAAGCTCTACTGAAGCAGAATACAGAAGTCTAGCAGCCACAATTACAGAATTGGTATGGCTATTAGGACTGATAAAGGAGATAGGAGTTGAGAATCAGCTGCCTGTAAACTTTCACTGTGATAGCAAGGCAGTCATACAGATTGCTGCAAATCCAATATTTCATGAACGCCCAAAGCCCATTGATATAGATTGTCATTTTATAAGAGAGAAGGTGCAAGAAGAGTTAGTTGCAACCAAATATGTAGGTACAAGGGAACATCAGGCAGATTTGCTGACAAAAGGGTTAAGCAGAATTCAACATGAATATTTGAGTTCCAAGCTAGGTGTGTTTGATGTGTTTGCACCACCTAGCTTGAGGGGGAGTATTATGAAAGGGGTTACTTGATGTGGTATTACTGTATTAGGGATAGTTTAGACTATTTAATGATAGTTAGTAGAGATTAAATATTAGTTTGTAAAGTGTATAAATAGGGGTCGTTTGTACAGTGCTGGGCGGTTAATAACAGAATATCATTTTTTTCATTTCCTCCTTCTTTGCTCGTCTTCTTCCTTTCTCTCTTCTAGCTAGGGTTTGCCCTATCAGATCCATAGATTTAACAATATTAAACTTGGTATGAAAAATTATCAGTGTTGTTATAGATAGCCGAAGAAAAATAGGCAGATACTATATTCTCAACCAATAAGTCAAAAATATTCATATTAGATGGCTATGTATAGTGTAAAAATTCCAAGAAAAAAAGGGACACAATGTACAGGTCACAATTTACAAGTATGTGAGACTTGGATCCAGCAATATATTACATAGGGAAAAGAGTAAAACTCTGCATGTTATGACCTCGGACCTTAGGAGAGAGAGAGAGAGAGCGCGACACATACTAAACGAGAAGGACGTAAAAGCGCCGTCAACGAAAGTATACAAAGAAAAAAACTGTACATAGAAATAGTCAGTAAGACTGGCCCCAATTACTTACTGTACATATATATAGAAGTATTATCATAGGCATTGGGCTATTTGGCTTATACTAAGAAATGGCCCTCAACTACTGTATTTTGTCTTGTGGTTTGTACCAAAAACCTGTGGCCTTAAACGAGACATTAACCACCAGACACTTCACTGTATCCCTATCCAATCACTACTCGACAACGCAACACCCCCCAAACCACTCTTGTTTTCACTTTATCATATCAGGTTTTGTTGCCCTTTCATTTCATTCAATCAAGCAGACCCCCAACCCCTACACCCTTGTCCTCGTGTTTCTTCTCCATATATGCTCCCTAATTTAATTTCACTAATCCAAACACACCTCTTTTTCATTCACATGGTAGGGGACAACCTTAATTACTTGTCTTTCTTTCAACCTTACTTAGTATCCGCCAAATTAATTCCTTAAATGCTCCAAGAAGCCAACCGAAATGACTCAATAAGAACTTCATCCTCAACCACTTTCTTTCTTGAGGAATAAACTACTTTTGGATTTAGGACTTCCAAACACAAGTAGTAGATTTTTTTTGTTTGAACCATTCGATATCTGAAATTCATTAGTCCGACTAATCTTGTACAAAAATGGGAAGAGGTAGGGTTCAGTTGAAACGGATCGAAAACAAGATCAGCAGGCAAGTCACTTTCTCGAAGAGACGCTCTGGATTGTTGAAGAAAGCAAATGAGATCTCCGTTTTGTGTGATGCTGATGTTGCCTTGATCGTTTTCTCCACCAAAGGCAAGCTCTTTGAGTATTCCTCCGAGTCCAGGTTATCTTTTACTAATTCTTATCTTAAACCGAATATTAATTCAAAACCAAAGACAAACTGGACTGGGACGATTAAAAATAAAACAAAAACAATTTCTAAAGTTGTCTCTATGTGCAGTTAAACTCATTGTTATTCTCTTTTGCATTAATCATTATATATACCCTTTTCTTATTACTTGCTATTAATATCAATTTCACTAGATACTTAAGGTTTAAATGATAGATGACTTCGTTTTGGGTCATCGCAATGTATTTTAATTGCAATCAGGAAAAGTTATGTAGTACTTAATTAGATTTCTATTTCTTAATCTGCGAAGCATTAAAGCTTATTTATGTAAAGATGAATCAATCAGAAAAGTAAAACAAATAGACAGATCGATATTACCCTTAAGTCCTAACCACATAAATATGTTACATTCATACCTTTCTATGGCAGCATACCAGTATAACAAATATTCACTCTAAAACCCAAGCTTTTTTTGAAATCCATTTTTGTGTTATAATATATGCCTTCTATAATATCATTTTTCTATAACAACCAAAAAAATATCGGAACGAACAAGACTATTATAGAAAAAAAAGACTATTATCATTTCTCTAAAACCCAAGAGATTTGACTTCTTCCATTAAGCTTCAAAATTTGTGGAGGTAGCCATGTTGGTATTTTGGTTCTTAGACAAATTTGACATTATTATGTGCACTTATGGATCGCATACTCACCAAGAAAAGAAACTTAAAAGTACAAATATTGTCAGATGTAATTAACCATAGATGCACATGTGATACAATGATACTCGAACCGATTAAATTGACACCAGTGTTTTTACTCTTTAGTCTGTTTGACTGTGAAAGAACTGAAAAGTTTTAATTTGTGGGGAGCATTTAATTATTTGGAAATTCTAATTGGATAAAAGGGGAAAAAACAAAAAACAAAAAACAAAAAACAAAAGCTTAAGAAAGAACATCACACTGTTAGAATTAAAAGAATGTTAAATTTGGGAAACCAAGACAATCTTTGTCTGAAATGGAGATCCTAGAGCCTTGTACCTCTTTGTCAGTTCATTCATTGTTAGTACGAGGAGCTATCTCAGTGACGCGTGGGATCAGAAAAATCTAATTGATTAGTTTAACTTCAATACATAAATACAATTTGTTGGGCGTGCGAACAAAGTCCTACATTGGCAGCTGAAAAGATTGGGAGTCTACATATAAGGTGTAGATATCTCTTAATGGTGTGAAACCTTTTGAGGAAAACAGTGCAGGCTTGATCCAAAGCGGACAATATCACACCATATTAAGGTCAAAATAGCACGGTATAGCCAGTTTTCGGACTGGTCATTCAAAAATAGCCAGCGTTTACCAAGTCAATAAAAAATAGCCACTATTTTGCTGCAACAGAGACCGGTCCAGCATAATATACTGGAGTTCGGTGCACCTGTGTATGAACTCGAGCATATTATGCTGGACCGGTATACTTTGCTGGCTCCAGTATAATATACTGGAGACTGGAGCACCGGTGCTTCAAACTCCAGTATATTATGCTAGACCGGTATACTTGCTGGAACTCCAATATATTATGTTGGAGTTCTAGTGTACTTATGCTGGAACTCCAGCATAATATGCTGGAGTTCTAGCATACTTATCCTGGAACTCCAGCATAATATGCTGGAGTTTAAGTATACTTATTATGGAACTCCAGCATAATATACTGGCGTATTTTTCGGGTTTTGAATAGTGTTTTCGCTCAGATTTATCTTTACATGAAAAGTGGCTAAATTTCGATTACTTTTGAAAGGGCTATTTTTGAACGACCAGTTGTAAATCTGGCTATTTTTAAATTTTTCCCCATATTAAGAGTGTATTTGGGCTAGTTTAGCCCAACACAATTTTTATTATTTATTAGATCACCTAAAAGATATATAATTCCAATTTTCATGTATACAATTAATAAAAAGTGCGGTTAATAACTTAAAAACAAGATAGATTATTTGAAACATGTTAAAATACGGTGAGTGCAAGAGTTTCCACTACAACACAATATATTTATAGCAACAAAACATAATGTAGCTAATTATGAAATTTTCCGTGGCTAAATACTTTAGCAACAATATTTTTTTTCTGTAGCATTCGCAACAAAATGTAGCGTAGTTAAAAGTTAGCTACAAACTTTACATGAGCCGTGGCTAAGAATTCTTACGCTAGCATGATATATAACTGAAATCCTAACCTAGTTAATAACTAAGATAAGAAATCTTATCTAACAGTTAAGCAAAGACGGATGGTTCAAAAAAAGTGTAATTTTTATATGTATATATTTCAAATTTCTTCGCCTATGATGTTGAAGCCAAAAGTATTGCCTTTGTGCTAAATAGATGTTTTCAATGTTAAGAACTGAAATGCTCTTGGATTGAGAATTGCTTGATATCCTTATCATTCAAATATGATTAAAAACAGATACAGAAATCCTTTAAAAAAGGTTTCTGTTTAGGTTATAAGACCCAATTTTCCGCGAATACATTCATGAAGAGATAATATAATGTCTAAAATGTATTTGCTAGATTATATAGAGCGACTCACTAATAATAAGGAAAAAGAAAGTCTATAATACTTTGTTGGTATAACCGTATAAGATACAACACTCACAAAGATACATAGTTGATAACTTTAGCTTTGGCTTCATCATTATATTATTAGATGTGTTAATTGACCTAATCACTAAATTCTTGTACACCTCTAGTAGTCTAACTTATTCAAAGCATATTTTACACGTTATTATAAACATGTTTTTGATTAATCTTGTCAAAATAAGTTGAGTGGGAATTGCTTGTGCTACTAGCCCTTGCCTTCAATGGTTGCACCTAGCAACAACATCAGGAAAATCAACAGTCCCTTTAAGAAAATAAACGAATTGCACCTCTATTATTCCTTTCTCCGGTCATTTAACTAAATGAAGCATGTTAAAATCAATTTATGCAATCCTTCTAAGGGGTCTCGGGGACACATTCTGACTGAACTCAGGAACGGGTCTTTACCAACTTCCAGATATTCTATTTTAGGGAAGCCAAAAGCGGCTAGCGCGAAAGGGACCCCAACTGGATAGGAATCTTTTGTTTATGTGGAGTCAATTGGCGCATGTCCTATTCATACTACTGTTGGCTTATGTGCTATGTCTAGCGGCTGGTGAATCCTACCCAGTATCGGGATTGGATTTTTATGGAAAGAAACAAGAAAAGAATTTAAGATTGAGAATGTGTAGGGAATGGCGTTCCTTTAAGTAGTTTCACCTCCGGTGGCCTGGTTTATTCTAGACTTTTTGCACCCCATCTCCTTTTCTTACTATGTTTTTTATTGATTTTCATAATGTTTTCTGTGTAGCATGGAAAGTATTCTGGAAAGATACGAAAGGTATTCATATGCAGAGAGAAAGTTGAATGCCAATGACGTTGATCCCATGGTAATCTGCAAATAAATCCTTCATTTTGCTTAACTTTTTTCTTTTTCTTGATTTGTCCGTTGAGTTTTGTCAATGTTGGCATTAAAAAAAGTGGCACCATATGAGCTAGCCTTGATTCTGAAACCCTCATGTGGAAGTTATAGAGAAAGAGTACCTGTAAATACTAAAAGGCAGCCCGGTGCACGAAGCATCCCGTACTCACGTAGGGTCCGGGGAAGGGATGCATTCCAAGGGGTGTCATGTAGGCAGCCTACCCTGATGCAAGCATCAATGAGTGATTTCACAGCTTGAACACGTGACCTATAGGTCACACGAAGACAGTTTTACCATTGCTCTAAGGTTCCCCTTCTGGTGGTAGATACTAATTGCCACATTTTAAACTTCATGAAATATATACTATTAGTATAAAGTCATATTTCAAGTGAAATACTGTTTTGCACTCGCAAACTTTCTTCCCGGCAAAGTTCGTCGTCATGTTTAGAACACAGTACCAACTTCCACAATTATTTCTACTACAACTTTAAATACTCTTTTTAAACTTCTATTGAGATATATTCTAAACGCCTACTGAGCTCCACTCTATCTTTATTTATTTTCTATTCTTGGTTTTCCTATATATTGATTCTATTGATGCATTATTGTAGGAAAATTGGACTGTAGAGTACCCGAAGCTCATGTCAAGGATTGAACTTATACAAAGAAACATAAGGTACTTCTTTTAACATCAACCACAAGTATTCATATTTAATTAGTGTATCACGACCAGATTCTCTACTGAATCTATAATTATGGTATTAGTATACAAAACCAAGAATAACATTGTTTAAAACTTCAAATGAGTAGCATTAATTCTTGCTGTGGTCATATAAAATCTGTATTTACAACAAAATCTGTAGGCATTATACGGGCCAGGATCTGGAGCCTCTTAGTTTGCGAGAGCTACAGAGTTTAGAGCAACAGATGGATACAGCATTGAAGCGAATACGAAGCAGGAAGGTGAGCATTATACACCAACAATAGCATAGTTTAAAACTTCAAATGAGTAGCATTACTTCTTGCTGCTCATTAATTATGTACTAGGATTAAACTTATATATATATATATATATTGACACTGTAAAAAAAAAAAAAATTACATTTTCCATGTACATAACATGTTTTAGCACATTACATGTCTTATTTTCCAGATTATTAATTTTAGTTTTTATTAACGATTACATGTAGTTATTTTTAAATAATATGACAGTGTAAATATTCTACACTGTCAAAGAATTGAAATAATTTTTTTTGTTGTTATCCTTTCCTGGCATAAGCTACTAGTTCTCAACAAGTAAGTCACTTGAATATGCAGAATCAAGTGATGCACGAGTCCATTTCTGAGCTGCAGAAAAAGGTAATGATACTCCCTCTAGTTATACTTGTTATAATTCTGCTAACACAGAATATTTTAATAAAAAAAAAAAAAAAACATGTGTACTGCCATCTATAATGTAAGTAAATGTTCCACTATGAGCTGAGGGTATTGACTAGTTTTGCACTTTATGGCAGGAGAAAGCGCTGCAAGAACAAAACAACTCGATGACTAAGAAGGTACACCACGTACGATTGATGTTAAGATTGATGTTACATGTCGAAATTCAATCCCTATCCTTGTGTACTCATTACAAATTTGAACTGAAAACAGCTGAAAGACAAAGATAAAAAGCAAAGTGGTCAAACACAACCCACTTCAGGCCAAAACTCTGCAACCTTTATGCTACCTCAGCAGCCTCCACCACAATCTCGCCAACTTCCTAACCTAACAATTGGGTACTCTCTCTCTCTCTCTCACACACACACACAAACAAGTGACAATGTTCAAGTAAACAATGATCTTCGTACAGGATTTTAACTTTTATACACTGATAATGTTTACACGATTAAGTTACCAAAACTACTAATTAATGAATATTCATCAGCAGTGGAGTTATTAGTAAGTAGAAAAAAATGCTACAATTTATTAACTAACACTTATAGTTGTGAAAGTTCTTTAAGATATTACGTATATAACTATATATAAATTAAATCCTACGATTTTGTGTTAAAACATGTCTATAAATTTTGGTTAAACCATATGTACATGAAGTTCTTTAAATATCAAAAACTGATAAAATAATCAAAGTTTAAAATGTCAGTGGACCATTTGAAGCAACAAGGGTAAGGAACAGAGATGGAGGTCAAGCTCACTATGGTTCTAATTCCCTGATGCCGCCATGGATGATCCGCCATGTCAACACTGATGGGTGAAAACAAGATGTAATATTGGAAGTTGGAACCCCACTGTGCTGTAGATGCATGTACTCGCTCCCACTATAGTACGTAGGCATTGCCTCTGCAACAGCTAGATCATATAGATGTACCCATGTCTATCTGTATATGTTCCAATCAATGAATTTTCCAGCTTGTATGGATCATTATCGCCATGAATGATAAATGTAGCCTTATCTCAGCTGCTTTTTTAGAGCATATTGTTATGACGCCACATCATCAACGTGCCATTTAAATATATTTTTGCCATGTGGAAAGCTTACATAGGAAGGAGGCTAGCATTTGTGGGAAGGTTCTAAAAAAATACGGAGATTTTCTTTGGAAGACCATATGATTTTGCTAGTCATCAAGCAAACAATACAAGTTCTCTTAAATACAAAAGCTTCATTTGGCAAATTTTTCTTGTTTTTCATATGTAGCATTCCTTTAGCGATTTTAAGTGTAGTAATCTAGGCTAACTTGGCATAGCAAAATCGTGAGCGAATTATACAAGATCGTGAGCAAATTTTTCAGCGTCGCACGTGCTAAGACTTACGACATGACAATATGATATAGTAAGTATAAGCTATAAAATCCTCATCTTTTATCCCTTTCTTGAGTTTCCTTATTTGTGGATTAAGGAGGTTAAACTGGCAGTGCATCTGAAATATATCAATGAAATATTCCTTTAGCACAGAAAGATTAAGAAACTAAGGTTAGACCATAAGGTAAGTTTTTAGTTATACTCGGTAAATATTTATTTACTTGCAAATTATTATAAAACAATAAATGAAGAAGAAGAGTATTACAGAGAAAAGTAGAAAGAAAATTTTTACTGATATGGGATGAATTACAATGGAATAAAACCCTCTATTTATAGGGAGAGGGTGACTTAGCCACCAAGCAATGAACCCTAGAATCTCTCTAAATATAGACATTCACCATAAATACAATTCTATTTATACACTCCCCCTTGAATGTCTATTCAACAGATAATGTGCCTCGTTAAAACCTTAACTAAAATAAAACCCAGTGGGAAAAAAATTCTAGAGAAGGAAAAAGAGTACACATATCTAACAATACGCCTTTTGGTTGCCTCGTTAAAAACCTTGCAAGGAAAACACAGTGGGACAAAAACCTTGTAAGGGAAAAAGAGTACAACGCGTATTAACTCCCCCTGATAAGAGCATCAATTCACATCCTTAAGCATTTGCATTCCTATCTTGTGCACCATCTTCAAAAGATCTTTGGTAGAGATTTGATGAACAAATCAGCCATATTAACTTGAATGAATATATTGCACCTTGAAATCATCATTATTGATAGAGATGAATTGTCTTCATATGATCTTGTTGGAATCGTCAGTTCAATATCTTCACATAAAGGTGAAAACTCTTGCTATCATATTATCATGCATATAGTTATAGCAAGATACATTTGTGCACAAATTGCACTGAGGATGTAGTGCTTCATGACCATGAATTCTATATGCTTTAAGCAATTTAAATCCTTCAGGGATTGTTAAGTCATATAAGCCATATAATAGACTTTAGATGCATATCAAGTTTTCATGTCATGCTAGACATATAAGATATCGAAAACTGATTGCACATACCATTGACTTTATACTTTCAAGTGTTTGAACTATGTTGCTCCCAAATGCACACGCAAGTATACGTGGTCGACAAGTAATATAGGATTGTAAGTCCAGATATCGTACCCACAGGGACTTGTGATTGACTATCAACTAAATTAAACCAAACAATTAATCTATTCAAGCGAACCCTAACGTATGAATATTTAACTAAAATTAATCTAGAGTAACAAACTAAGAGATTAAAGAAAACAAGTTGGCGAATTATAGAGACGAATTCAATGTGAGTGAATATTCTAGAGCTATGGGTTAGCTAACAATCCCGTTGAGTTTTCCACTTAAATTATCTAATTAATTTATCTAGTTTATTGATTGACGGGGTTAATACTGCCGTAGCCTTCTCCCGAAGTACGACTCGCCTATTCAAGCTAACCTAATGCCTATATTCCTATGGAATTAGGATTAACAAGAACGCATTTATAATTCCCGTATAATAACCAAGCAAGGCGATTAGGTATATTCCTATCCTAACCGCAAATCCGCTCCCCCTAAGAGTTAAGATCTTGCTCTACTCAATCTTATATGCAATCTAGAATTCTCTCTCCCGAGTTCAATCCTAGATTCGTAGATAGTATTCAATTGGTGATCAAGTAATCAAATAATTAAGCGCAAGATTGAATAAATAAACCAATATGATAAAATAATAAGAACAATTTAAGCTTCAAACTACAACGTTCATGTAGTACCCAAAACTCTAGAACAAAGAAACTATGAAATTAAAGGAAGAGAAGAGAAGAAAAACTAGTTGGAAGCCTCCTCCAAGCGTGGTGTGTGTTCCGCCACGTGAATTCTCCTTCAAAGTATGTTCGATCTGCTCCAAATTAGGTTTAGGACCCTTTTTATACGAGTTGGAACCATGTAGGGCCGAAATAACATTGTCCCAGACGAAATAGAAAAACTCACGTCACACAGCGTCCAGGATAGCGCCTAGCGCTAGCCCTGGCGCTGAAACCAGTAAGTTTGCACGTTCTTGCTTTGCTGCGTCACTTTCATCCATATATTGCATTCTAAATGGAATTCAATTATATATCCCTTTTTCTTGTCTTCAAATTGGGGGGACAAAAACCAAAGGGTGTCCCCCCTTTTTTTATTCATTTAATTTTCTTTCTTTTTCTTCCGCGTTTTATTCAATTTTGCTCCAAATCTCTTCATCTGCACACCACTTTATTCCTACACAATTAAAATATAATCTTAAGCACAAAGTACTATAATTAACACTCAAAAGACGATTAAAAGTACTAGAATATGAGATAACAATGGGTAAATATATGTATTTTTGGCTGAACATCAACACCCTACACTTACATTCTTGCTCGTCCTCGAGTAAGCATTAAAATCACTCTCAATAAATCAAGCCTAGAAATACCATCAATTTGGTTGATACTAACAATTAGGCCTTATAGCAACTCAAACCATCATATACACACTTCCTCCTCATTGTGCAAGATATATAAGTCACAAACAAACAACAAACTTCTAACCTCCTAACCTCATAGCTGGACTCTAACTTACCAAATCTAAGCTCGCTCACCTACTCTGTCAAAGAAGCTAATAACTTCACCTATCTATCATGAAACAAGTGCCCTCACAAGAATAAATAGTCCATACACTCAAATCAAATAATGAATATAATTTAAGGACTT